GTTTTAAAAGTATTTTCTGCTTTATATACATATATATGGGCAATTTCGTGTCAAGTGACCTAACTATAAAAATCAATTTGGATCGAATTTGCACCAAGGTTAGAGTACTATTGGATAGTAGGCCAGACAGAAGGCCAGTGATTTGTTCTAGGACCAATAGGTGAAAAGTTACACTCATTTGAAAAAAAAACCCGTTTGACCAAAATGTCAAACTTTGACCAACTCTAACTGTGACAGTTTTTGAACGATAAAGGTGAAAAATGTATGGCTTATTATCCAATAATACTAACCTTGGTACCAATTTCATCCAAATCGATTTTTTGACATGAAATTGCCCATATACATACATATGTATGCAAATATGTTCTTATATATAATATATGTATATATGTATATGCTTATACATAAATATTTACTTATGGTCTTTGACTCAATTCTCTAGACTTCTAAAAATGTATTTATGAAAATGAAGTGGTTTTGAATGTGACCACTAAAACCATCTGCTGCTGTGAACATTTGAAAAAGTATTATCACGTTCTTACAGTTGTTTATTTTAATACCCTTCATTTAATACTGAAAAATGTACAAATTTGTCAAATTGTTTGTAATTTTATCTATTTGTATGTATCATGAAAGTCAATATAACGAGATATCGTGTCCTAAATTTTGAAAAAGGGACGTCTTTAAGACGTTATAAAAATCCGAGAGCACCTTTGTGTAAAAAGTTTGTTATGTCATCTGAAAGTTCAATTTGTCGACCTTAAAGTAAAGCTGTAGCTGTTTCGTTTTTCGAGATATCTTAATCTAAAGTTTTAAACAATCTATAAAAGGAATTCGGATTCAGCTATGCTTAATCCTTAAGAAAAGTATTAACATAAGAAGCCAAATCAAAATAAGATTTCGAAAATATTTAGAAGTCCTATGGATTTTTAGAAGTAATGATAGATATGGCTCTGTAATGAACTTTGGTATTGAAAATTCAAAAAATATCGATACCAAATAGCTACCTAATACTCTCACGAGTCCTGTATGCAGTACGTCAGTTAAAAAAACTGAAACGATTATTAATTAATGTTAAATTGAAGGGTATACAAGATTCTACATAGTCGTAAATATCACTACTATTGGTGTAAGTTGTTTGTGTAATTTTTGGTATTTGTCTTATTAAACATTTGTAGTAGATATCTCAAATCCTAGAAAAAGTTGTGAAAAAGTTTGTTCTACTTGTTGAAATCAAAATAAAAAAAACTGTATAATACATATGTACATATAAACATTGTATTTGTCTATTTACTACATACTGTATGAATAAGGAAGAATGTTATATTAAATATGGTTGGTTTATTTTTATATACCTACTTGGTAAAACTCTTTTTAAACTGCTATTGATAATTGATTTTCGGAATATAGCCCTAAAACGGGGATTAAGTTAGTTATTTACAAGAGTTTTTAAAGTGAAAATATAATATGATCTAATTTCGGAGATCTATTTTCTATAATTGATAGATTTTCGAAGGAAACTCAAAAATTATGAATCGAGTTCCGTGCAGTTAAAAGGTAAAAAAGATCTAATTATTTGGCAAATTAGATTTAAATACATCGAATTTTATCGCCATATATACATATTGACAAGTTGCAACAAGCGTCAAATGTGGTCTGAACTTATTCAAATTTAAAGAATATCTTAACAACAACTAAACAGCAATGATACCAAAAGTTGACGGTATTACTATGTACACTGTACAACTTCTTTCTCATTCCAATATAACTTAACAAATATAATTTTGTTAACTAAATGTCGATGATTTATTACATTTTTAATAAACATTCTTTACAAAATTGTTTGAATTCCTTGTGTGTATTACATTTAGGAAGATTATGTCATTTGAATAAAAATGAATGATTTAACAGTAATGAAGTAGTATATCAGTGATGGGCAACGCACATATATACATGTAAAAATACATTTCCAGTACAGTTCTAGTTCAGTTCTAGTTCAATTCTAGTTCAGTTCTAGTTCAGTTCTAGTTCAGTTCTAGTTCAGTTCTAGTTCAGTTCTAGGTCTAGTTTCAGTTCTAGTTCAGTTCTAGTTCAGTTCTAATTCAGTTTCTTCATTCTAGTTCAGTTTCCTGGTCAGTTCTAGTTCAGTTCTAGTCAGTTCTAGTTCAGTTTTTTTTTCTGTTCAGTTCTAGTTCAGTTCTAGTTCAGTTCTAGTTCAGTTCTAGTTCAGTTCTAGTTCAGTTCTAGTTCAGTCTAGTTCAGTTCTAGTTCAGTTCTAGTTCAGTTCTAGTTCAGTTCTAGTTCAGTTCTAGTTCAGTTCTAGTTCAGTTCTAGTTCAGTTCTAGTTCAATTCTAGTTCAGTTCTAGTTTCAATTCTAGTTCAGTTCTAGTTCAGTTCTAGTTCAGTTCTAGTTCAGTTCTAGTTCAGTTCTACTTCAGTTCTAGTTCAGTTCTAGTCAGTTCTAGTTCAGTTCTAGTTCAGTCTAGTTCAGTCTAGTTCAGTTTCTAGTTCAGTTCTAGTTCAGTTCTAGTTCAGTTCAGTCTAGTTCAGTTCTAGTTAGTTCTAGTTCAGTTCTAGTTCAGTTCTAGTTCAGTTCTAGTTTCAGTTCTAGTTCAGTTCTAGTTCAGTTCTAGTTCAGTTCTAGTTCAGTTCTAGTTCAGTTCTAGTCAGTTCTAGTTCAGTTCTAGTTCAGTTCTAGTTCAGTTCTAGTTCAGTTCTAGTTCAGTTCTAGTTCAGTTCTAGTTCAGTTCTAGTTCAGTTCTAGTTCAGTTCTAGTTCAGTTCTAGTTCAGTTCTAGTTCAGTTCTAGTTCAGTTCTAGTTCAGTTCTAGTTCAGTTCTAGTTCAGTTCTAGTTCAGTTCTAGTTCAGTTCTAGTTCAGTTCTAGTTCAGTTCTAGTTCAGTTCTAGTTCAGTTCTAGTTCAGTTCTAGTTCAGTTCTAGTTCAGTTCTAGTTCAGTTCTAGTTCAGTTCTAGTTCAGTTCTAGTTCAGTTCTAGTTCAGTTCTAGTTCAGTTCTAGTTCAGTTCTAGTTCAGTTCTAGTTCAGTTCTAGTTCAGTTCTAGTTCAGTTCTAGTTCAGTTCTAGTTCAGTTCTAGTTCAGTTCTAGTTCAGTTCTAGTTCAGTCTAGTTCAGTTCTAGTTCAGTTCTAGTTCAGTTCTAGTTCAGTTCTAGTTCAGTTCTAGTTCAGTTCTAGTTCAGTTCTAGTTCAGTTCTAGTTCAGTTCTAGTTCAGTTCTAGTTCAGTTCTAGTTCAGTTCTAGTTCAGTTCTAGTTCAGTTCTAGTTCAGTTCTAGTTCAGTTCTAGTTCAGTTCTAGTTCAGTTCTAGTTCAGTTCTAGTTCAGTTCTAGTTCAGTTCTAGTTCAGTTCTAGTTCAGTTCTAGTTCAGTTCTAGTTCAGTTCTAGTTCAGTTCTAGTTCAGTTCTAGTTCAGTTCTAGTTCAGTTCTAGTTCAGTTCTAGTTCAGTTCTAGTTCAGTTCTAGTTCAGTTCTAGTTCAGTTCTAGTTCAGTTCTAGTTCAGTTCTAGTTCAGTTCTAGTTCAGTTCTAGTTCAGTTCTAGTTCAGTTCTAGTTCAGTTCTAGTTCAGTTCTAGTTCAGTTCTAGTTCAGTTTCTAGTTTCAGTTCTAGTTCAGTTCTAGTTCAGTTTCTAGTTCAGTTCTAGTTCAGTTCTAGTTCAGTTCTAGTTCAGTTCTAGTTCAGTTCTAGTTCAGTTCTAGTTCATTCTAGTTCAGTTCTAGTTCAGTCGCTCCCATAGCTGGTCTATTTCAATGGAATAGGTGCGTATGTATGTGTGTACAGTAGGGTTATAACTTTTATCCAATTTTTGATAATTTCAAATCTATTCTATAAAGACTATAAAAAAGTATATTAAAAAGGATATCACTTTTTCTCTAGAGTTAAAAAAATTTCCACGGAAAATGTTTTAGTTTTAAATTTTTTAATACTAAATCGGAATTGTTTAATTTATCCCTCTTCTAAATTTAGAACCCGTATATGTTTATTGCGTCCTTAAGGTTTTTGCACCAAAATGATCCGAGAAAACGGCTTTCGTTGTTAGAACACCACAGACTACCACGTAGTAAAGTTGCCTATTTTTGGTTATACCCTAGTTCACAGTAATGTTTAATCACAGAGCGTTTTCGGTATTGTGATATTTTCTATTTACCATCTCGAATGTTTTAAGGCTTATTTCGTTTTTACCAACAACGTAGTTTATTTGTTAATTAGTGTTTCGCGGTGGCTGCCAAAAATGCTTATATTGAGATTTGTAGATTAAGTGCAAAATTTTGGGTATACGTAAGTATGTGAAAAACTATGTTATGCAGGGATGGAAATTCAGTATTATTATTTCGTTTGTGCAAATGATTAAAACGTTTGGATCGGTACAAAATTGGACCAATCCAAACGTCTAAAAAAAAAAAAAACACCTTGATACTAATATATTTATGTATCATGTATCTTAGAACAATTTTAAAAATCACAATTTACCATGTCTGATATAACAGTCAATAAATCGAACATTTCATTCGTAATCTTCTTTTAAGCAAACGTGAGAAAATTCCTAAAGTGTATGGAATATTTTACAAAAACAAAAATATTAATATTGGCAAATAGTTCTATGAAGAACGATTTTATGAAATGTGTGTGATAGACAAAAAAAAATCTACCAATCCGAAATAAATGAAGCGTATAAATGAATGAATTTATAAATAACAAGTAATAAAGAGGTTGTATCGAATACTATACATATGCAAACTTAATATACTGTGTAGACTGCAGACAAAATAAATAAATTAGGGAGATTTGAATGTAACTGTCACGAGATTTTAAATTTATTAAAAAAATAACAAAATTTTTTAATTATGGGAAAATTATATATACCTAGGATCTTATGGTAATGGAAACATAATATGTCCGTCCATTTGTCGTTTGAAAGCATATTAATATGAAATTTTAGTACGACTTTTATAAAAAAAAAATAAATTTTCATTTCGATTTTATAGTACATGAGTGGTTTTGGTTCTCACTTCTCATCCGAAGATCCCAGATGTCCAAACTCATTACCCGAGGGCCAAAATACACCACAAAAGTGTGCATACGGTTTGTATGCTGAACAACTGTCGGGTACAGCATTTACAGCACCACGTAAGGAAAATGCACGCACTTGGTTTTATCGCATCAATCCCAGTGCCAAACACCAACCATTCCAGGCATACGAAACAGCTAGCAAACATTTAACTCATAATTGGGATGAACAGAAACCAAATCCCAATCAGGTAAGTTAAAAAAATATATTGAATGTTCAAATTGTACATACGAGAATCCATAGAAATTATTTTGCTGTTTCCTTTTAAAATTTAACAAACATTTTTTGTTTTAAACACTTTTGTTATCCTTAGCCAGGATTTTGTTATCAATACCAGATAAAAAAAATAAAAATATTTCATTGTCAAACTACCACTTTATAGTAAAAATTTGCAAATTTAACAGTTTCTTTTTTTATTCAATTGTTAAACCACAATTTCTATTCTATTTTCAAATTCAATTCTATTTTTTTAATAAATATGCTTTTATACCCCATAGCCAAAAAGTGGGGCGATACATATCGCTCATTTACTACAAGACTGGTATAATCTAAAAATCGGGATTTTTGAACTGAATACTATATATTATTTTCGGTTTTATGCTGTAAACTTCAAAACTAAAACCTATGTATGTTTTCACTTATATTTTATAAGTAAAAACTGAGTTTAAGTTCAGATGAGAAACATACTAACAACTACTTAATGTTGTTTTTCCCAAAATAAGTTTTTTGATTTATGTCGGTTTTGTAATAAATGGGGCGACATGTATATTAAATTTGTTATTTCGTTTGTAACACAGCGGAATATGTATATTCAGGTCGTAGATTCTAAATCAGTCTTGTTCTAGTTTAGTTCTATTTCAGATTTAGTTCAGTTCTAGTTTAGTTTTATTTCAGATTTAGTCCAGTTCTAGTTCAGTTCTAGTGCAGTTCTAGTGCAGTTCTAGTGCAGTTCTAGTTTCAGTTCTAGTTCAGTTCTAGTGCAGTTCTAGTTCAGTTCTAGTTCAGTTCTAGTTCAGTTCTAGTTCAGTTTAGTTCAGTTCTAGTCTAGTTCAGTTCTAGTTCAGTTCTAGTGCAGTTCTAGTTCAGTTCTAGTTCAGTTCTAGTTCAGTTCTAGTTCAGTTCTAGTTCAGTTCTAGTTCAGTTGTAGTCAGTTGTAGTTCAGTTCTAGTTCAGTTCTAGTTCAGTTCTAGTTCAGTTCTAGTTCAGTTCTAGTTCAGTTCTAGTTCAGTTCTAGGTTCAGTCTAGTTCCGTTATAGTTCAGTTCTAGTTCAGTTTCTAGTTCAGTTCTAGTTCAGTTCTAGTTCAGTTCTAGTTCAGTTCTAGTTCAGTTCTAGTTCAGTTCTAGTTCAGTTCTAGTTCAGTTCTAGTTCAGTTCTAGTTCAGTTCTAGTTCAGTTCTAGTTCAGTTCTAGTTCAGTTCTAGTTCAGTCTAGTTCTAGTTCAGTTCTAGTTCAGTTCTAGTTCTTCTAGTTCAGTTCTAGTTCAGTTCTAGTTCAGGTCTAGTTCTAGTTCAGTTCTAGTTCAGTTCTAGTTCAGTTCTAGTTCAGTTCTAGTTCAGTTCTAGTTCAGTTCTAGTTCAGTTCTAGTTCAGTTCTAGTTCAGTTCTAGTTCAGTTCTAGTTCAGTTCTAGTTCAGTTCTAGTTCAGTTCCAGTTCAGTTCTAGTTTAGTTCTAGTTCAGTCCTAGTTCAGTTCTAGTTCAGTTCTAGTTTAGTTCTAGTTCAGTTCTAGTTCAGTTCTAGTTCAGTTCTAGTTCAGTTCTAGTTCAGTTCTAGTTCAGTTCTAGTTCAGTTCTAGTTCAGTTCTAGTTCAGTTCTAGTTCAGTTCTAGTTCAGTTCTAGTTCAGTTCTAGTTGAGTTCTAGTTGAGTTCTAGTTCAGTTCTAGTTCAGTTCTAGTTCAGTTCTAGTTCAGTTCTAGTTCAGTTCTAGTTCAGTTCTAGTTCAGTTCTAGTTCAGTTCTAGTTCAGTTCTAGTTCAGTTCTAGTTCAGTTCTAGTTCAGTTCTAGTTCAGTTCTAGTTCAGTTCTAGTTCAGTTCTAGTTCAGTTCTAGTTCAGTTCTAGTTCAGTTCTAGTTCAGTTAGTTCTAGTTCAGTCTAGTTCGTTCTAGTTCTAGTTCTAGTTAAGTTCTAGTTCAGTTCTAGTTCAGTTCTAGTTCAGTTCTAGTTCAGTTCTAGTTCAGTTCTAGTTTAGTTCTAGTTCATTTTTAATTCAGTTCTAGTTTAGTAAGATTTTAAAAACAACAAAACTGGTTAAGAGTTTAGAATCAATATGGTGGTGGGTGTATAAGATCCTCGATGACCAAAAACATATAATACTTTTACTTGTTTGTTTGTTTGTTTTGTTTAATATGTGTAGATGCGCTGGAAACCATTCGATATTCCTAGTGGAAATGAGAAAGTGAATTTGTTCAAGGTCTGCACACCGTTTGTGGTGCTGGAGATGCTCGTTGTCGTCATGGTCTGGCTGTTCATGTTTATCTCTGCAATACATCTATGGAAAATACAGCATTTTATAATAGCGATGGTGACTTCTTAATTGGTAAGTTGTTGTGTGTTTTCTAATGCTATGGTTCTGTTTTATTTTCATTTTAATGTATTCAATTTTTATCCAATTGTTGTTGGTTTGACCAACAACAAAAGTGTTATGTATTATTATGATGCATAAAGCTTTGAAAAATGTTAATGAATGATAATGTATAAATTCTTTGATTATTATAGCGAATGGTCATTATATAAATTTAAGTTATTTATTTTTAAAAATTAATGAACATGTATAAAGTAGTTATATACACGAGGGCAATTGGCGCAATACAGAAATTATAGATATATTTTTGTTTGTAATTACAGTACCTCAAGAGGGAGTTTTAGATATTACCACTGAATTTGGTAAAATGAAAGTATCTCCCAATGAGATTTGTGTTATACCCCAGGGTATACGTTTCGCTGTAAATGTAACTGGACCTACTAGGTAAAATATTACAAAGAAAACTAAATATAAAAACTTTTTTAAAAAAAATATTTTTGTTCACTTATTAGAGGTTATATTTTGGAAGTTTACGACAATCATTTCCATTTACCCGATTTGGGACCTATCGGCGCCAATGGTTTGGCCAATCCCAGAGATTTTCTAACACCTGTAGCTTGGTTCGAAGATCGTCAAGTAGAAGGTAATATTATGTTTATTTATAAAAATTCATTAATTTTATAAAGATGTTTGTTTTTAGGCTTCCAGGTAGTTTCTAAATTCCAAGGCCACCTATTTGCCGCCAAACAAAATCATTCCTGTTTCGATGTGGTAGCCTGGCATGGCAACTATGTGCCCTACAAATACGATTTGGCCAAATTCAATGTTATTAATTCAGTTAGTTTTGATCATTGTGATCCCAGTATATTCACCGTCCTAACCTGTCCCAGTGCAAAATATGGCACGGCTATAGCTGATTTTGTTATCTTCCCTCCTAGATGGTCGGTGCAAGAGCATACTTTCAGACCACCTTATTATCATCGTAAGTTTTTCTTTCATTCTTAATTTTTCATTCCTAATATTTTTATTATTTTTTAAGGCAACTGCATGAGTGAATTCATGGGTTTGATTTTGGGTCGCTACGAAGCCAAAGAGGAAGGTTTTATGCCCGGTGGTGCCACCTTACATTCTATGATGACTCCTCATGGACCTGATAACAAATGTTTTGAGGGTGCTTCTAATGCCAAATTACAACCCGAACGTGTGGCTGAGGGTACTCAAGCTTTTATGTTTGAATCCTCTTTGAGCATGGCTGTGACCAAATGGGGTGAGGAGACTTGTCAGAAATTGGATGCTAAATACTATGAATGCTGGCAGGCTTTGAAAATAATTTTAAATTAAATAATTAAAGTGTTTTTTTACTCAATTTATAAATATAATAAAGGTTGTTAGAAAATTTTTTTTTCTAAACTGTAACCTGTTTAATGCAAAATGTTTTATAAATTTTTAATTTTTGTTCAAAGTAAATTTTTGAAAAATTCCCTTTATAATAGGAATTTTTTGATAACTATTTTCTATAAAATGAAATTTCCTATAAAATGAAATTTTTCAAAAATTTCCTTTATTTAGAAAATTTTTTGATAAATTTCATTTTTATAGGAAATTTTCGAAAAATTTCATTTTTATAGCAAATTTTAGAAATATTTAATTTTTATAGGTAATTTTTAAAAAAATTCTTTTTTATAAGAAATTTTCGAAAAATTTCCTTTTATAAAAATTTTTTAAATAATTTCCTTTTTATTGGGTATTTTTAAGAAATTTCCTTTTTATAGGAAATTTTCAAGAAATTTCCTTTCTATAGGAAATTTTCGAAAAAATTCCTTTCTATAGGAAATTTTCGAAAAAATTCCTTTCTATAGGAAATTTCCATAAAATGTCCTTTCTATAGGAAAATTTCAGAAAATTTCCTTTCTATAGCAAATTTTCATAAAATTTCTTTTTAATAGGAAATTTTCATAAAATTTACTTTCTATAAAAATTTTTCATAAAATTTACTTTCTATAAAAAATTTTCATAAAATTTACTTTCTATAGAAAATTTTCATAAAATTTACTTTCTATAGAAAATTTTCATAAAATTTACTTTCTATAGAAAATTTTCATAAAATTTACTTTCTATAGAAAATTTTCATAAAATTTGCTATCTATTAAAATTTTCATAAAATTTACTTTCTATTGAAAATTTTTAATAAATTTTCTTTCTATTGAAAATTTTCATAAAATTTACTTTCTATTGAAAATTTTCATAAAATGTCCTTTCTATAGAAAATTTTCATAAAATGTCCTTTCTATAGCAAATTTTTATAAAATGTTCTTTCTAAGGAAATTTTTATGAAATTAAATTTTTATAGGAAATTTTCATAAAATGTCCTTTCTAAAGGAAATTTTGAAAAAAATTGTCCTTTCTATAGGAAATTTTTAATAAATTTTTTTTTTTTTAGGAAATTTTCAATAAATTTTCTTTTTATAGGAAATTTTCAATAAATTTTCTTTTTATAGGAAATTTTTAATAAATTTTCTTTTTATAGGAAATTTTTTATAAATTTTCTTTTTATAGGAAATTTTTAATAAATTTTCTTTTTATAGGAAATTTTTAATAAATTTTCTTTTTATAGGAAGGTTTCAAAATCAATTCCCTTTTATTGGAAATTTTTAATAAATTTTGTTTTATGGGAAAAAATTATCAATAATTTCCTTTTAGAGGAAATTTGTGATCAATTATTTTCTTTTTTTTAGGAAATTTTCGATAAATTTGCCTTTTTAAAAAGGAAATTTTCAATAAATTTCCTTTTCATAGGAAATTATCAATAAATTTCCTTTTAAAAAGAAATTTTCAATAAATTTGTTTTTCATAGGAAATTATCAATACATTTCCTTTTAAGAAGAAATTTTCAATAAATTTCCTTTTCATAGGAAATTTTCAATAAATTTCCTTTTTATAGAAAATTTTCAATAAATTTTCTTTTCAATAAAATACCTTTTTTGAAGGACATTTTTGATAAATTTCCCTTTTATAGGAAATTTTCATTTTTGTTTAAATAAAAGACGTCTTTTTTTTCAATTTAAAACAATTTTTCTTTTATTTCCACTTTTATTTAAACTATTATTATAATATTTGTTTTGTAAATTGTTTGTATACCGCTGTAAATATTTGATATATTTGTTCTAAATATAATAAGTACATACAAATACAATAATTGGCAATTTTTAAAATTTACTGAGCAAAAATATGTTAATAATACAATGTAAATTATATACTTTTACTTAAATAAATAATTTTTAATAAATAAAATTGAACATTAAATATCACAACCATTTATACTATATAATAATAATATTTATATATTTAAATCGTTCAAAACACTGGTAGTACCATTCACATTTATCGAAATTCAACAAGACATTTACACAATACACTCCTTATATTTTAAGAATAATTAGACCTAAAAATAAGTGCATACATACATGTAAGTACTAAGTAATAGATAGCAGTAGATAACAGTTCTACAATTATGTTTGGTTAAAGATAATTTACACATAAGGCTAACGGCAATAGAGCAAAAGAGAGAAATTAAATTAACACTTATTAGTACGTGTAGGTGTTCTAAGTTAAAAGGATAGTAACTAGTCGAATTAGTTTAACTATAGACGTTGTATATTGTTTTTTTTTTATAAAAAGTTCGTTGAATTTCTCTATAAACGAAATGTTATAACAGGTGCCGAACGTGGTCCTCGATGTGTGGTCGTTGTATGCGAAACACTTGAATTTAAGCGACATACACACAGATAACTATTATTACAAACTGTATTCGTTTATCCATTTGTTGTTTGCGATGTGGCATCGTATCCACCGTTACATTATCATCCGAACGACGATTGTATATACATTTAGTTTCACAACTGCAATAGGCCGTCTTGATGTAACGTTGTCGACTACTCTGCTGGTTGGCTGTGTTTGAGAAACAGGAGCCTCCACGTTGCAGATGCTTAATGTAACAGTGATTCATGATCGGATGTAAGGCCGCCGAACTGGAGGTAAAACTTTCCGTATCTACATTACTGATGAGGTCGGGAGCTGCGTCGTTAAGGACAACAACAGAGTTCTGCTGTAGTTGTTGTTCGCGAGTTTGACTGATTAGCCAATAGGTACGCATATCGCCTTTGCCCTGGAAAGGTAAAATAAATGAAATATAAAGGTGTGATTAATACTTAGAAGAATTATAAAATTTATATGAACCATATCAATAATATTATAGTTTCAAAAAGGTGTTACCTTTCATAACTTTGCTTAGATTTTATACTACGTCTGGAACTTACCTTTATGTTAATCAGTCCTCTTTCTATACAATGATATCCTCCTAAATTCTCCAATAATTGATACGTTTCCTCGGATATGTGAATTTTTCATTGCATCTCCCGTGCTCTCCATACGTGAAGCTGTATTAACAGTATCACCAAAAAGGCAATATCGTGGCATCTATAACAATTGAGAGAATTTTAAACATTCAAGAGGTTTAAATTGAAACTAAACTAGACTATAGACTAGATGAGACGAGAATAAATGGACCTATATTAGACTAGTCTAGACAGGACTAGACCAGACCAGATAGACTAGAATCGACTAGACTAGACAATAGGACCACACACTTTACACTATTATTGATTAGACTTTAGACTAGATAATAGACATAACTATAGACTTGACAATGGACTAGATTATAGAATCGTCTACAGACTGTAGTATTGACTGCAGACTATACTCTAGACTATAGACTAGACTATAGATAGACTATAGACTAGACTATAGACTAGACTATAGACTAGACTATAGATAGACTTTATACTAGGACTATAGACTAGACTATAGACTAGACTATAGACTAGACTATAGACTAGACTATAGACTAGACTATAGACTTAGACTAAGACGAGGACCTATTAGACTAGACTATAGACTAGTCTATAGACTAGACTCTAGATAGACTAATAGACTAGACTATAGACTAGTCTATAGACTAGACTAAGACTAGACTATACACCAGACTATAGACTAGACTATAGACTAGACTATAGACTAGACTATAGACTAGACTATAGACTAGACTATAGACTAGACTATAGACTAGACTATAGACTAGACTATAGACTAGACTATAGACTAGACTATAGACTAGACTATAGACTAGACTATAGACTAGACTATAGACTAGACTATAGACTAGACTATAGACTGGACTATAGACTAGACTATAGACTGACTATAGACTAGACTAGACTAGACTATAGACTACTATAGACTAGACTATAGACTAGACTATAGACTAGACTACTAGACTATGACTAGCTATAGACTAGACTATAGACTAGACTATAGACTAGACTATAGACTAGACTATAGACTAGACTAGACTGACTATAGACTAGACTATAGACTAGACTATAGACTAGACTATAGACTAGACTATAGACTAGACTATAGACTAGACTATAGACTAGACTATAGACTAGACTATAGACTAGACTATAGATAGACTATAGACTAGACTATAGACTAGACTATAGACTAGACTATAGACTAGACTATAGACTAGATAAGACTAGACTATAGACTAGACTATAGACTAGACTATAGACTAGACTATAGACTAGACTATAGACTAGACTATAGACTAGACTATAGACTAGACTATAGACTAGACTATAGACTAGACTATAGACTAGACTATAGACTAGACTATAGACTAGACTATAGACTAGACTATAGACTAGACTATAGACTAGACTATAGACTAGGCTATAGACTAGACTATAGACTAGACTATAGACTAGACTATAGACTAGACTATAGACTAGACTATAGACTAGACTATAGACTAGACTATAGACTAGACTATAGACTAGACTATAGACTAGACTATAGACTAGACTATAGACTAGACTATAGACTAGACTATAGACTAGACTATAGACTAGACTATAGACTAGACTATAGACTAGACATAGACTAGACTATAGACTAGAATAGACTAGACTATAGACTAGACTATAGACTAGACTATAGACTAGACTATAGACTAGACTATAGACTAGACTATAGACTAGACTATAGACTAGACTATAGACTAGACTATAGACTAGACTATAGACTAGACTATAGACTAGACTATAGACTAGACTATAGACTAGACTATAGACTAGACTATAGACTAGACTATAGACTAGACTATAGACTAGACTATAGACTAGGCTATAGACTAGACTATAGACTAGACTATAGACTAGACTATAGACTAGACTATAGACTAGACTATAGACTAGACTATAGACTAGACTATAGACTAGACTATAGACTAGACTATAGACTAGACTATAGACTAGACTATAGACTAGACTATAGACTAGACTATAGACTAGACTATAGACTAGACTATAGACTAGACTATAGACTAGACTATAGACTAGACTATAGACTAGACTATAGACTAGACTATAGACTAGACTATAGACTAGACTATAGACTAAACTATAGACTAGACTATAGACTAGACTATAGACTAGACTATAGACTAGACTATAGACTAGACTATAGACTAGACTATAGACTAGACTATAGACTAGACTATAGACTAGACTATAGACTAGACTATAGACTAGACTATAGACTAGACTATAGACTAGACTATAGACTAGACTATAGACTAGACTATAGACTAGACTAGACTAGACTATAGACTAGACTATAGACTAGACTATAGACTAGACTATAGACTAGACTATAGACTAGATTATACTAGACTATATACTAGACTATAGACTAGACTATAGACTAGACTATAGACTAGACTATAGACTAGACTATAGACTAGACTATAGACTAGACTATAGACTAGACTATAGACTAGACTATAGACTAGACTATATACTAGACTATATACTAGACTATAGACTAGACTATAGACTAGACTATAGACTAGACTATAGACTAGACTATAGACTAGACTATAGACTAGACTATAGACTAGACTATAGACTAGACTATAGACTAGACTATAGACTAGACTATAGACTAGACTATAGACTAGACTATAGACTAGACTATAGACTAGACTATAGACTAGACTATAGACTAGACTATAGACTAGACTATAGACTAGACTATAGACTAGACTATAGACTAGACTATAGACTAGACTATAGACTAGACTATAGACTAGACTATAGACTAGACTATAGACTAGACTATAGACTAGACTATAGACTAGACTATAGACTAGACTATAGACTAGACTATAGACTAGACTATAGACTAGACTATAGACTAGACTATATACTAGACTATATACTAGACTATAGACTAGACTATAGACTAGACTATAGACTAGACTATATACTAGACTATATACTAGACTATAGACTAGACTATAGACTAGACTATAGACTAGACTATAGACTAGACTATAGACTAGACTATAGACTAGACTATAGACTAGACTATAGACTAGACTATAGACTAGACTATAGACTAGACTATAGACTAGACTATAGACTAGACTATAGACTAGACTATAGACTAGACTATAGACTAGACTATAGACTAGACTATAGACTAGACTATAGACTAGACTATAGACTAGACTATAGACTAGACTATAGACTAGACTATAGACTAGACTATAGACTAGACTATAGACTAGACTATAGACTAGACTATAGACTAGACTATAGACTAGACTATAGACTAGACTATAGACTAGACTATAGACTAGACTATAGACTAGACTATAGACTAGACTATAGACTAGACTATAGACTAGACTATAGACTAGACTATAGACTAGACTATAGACTAGACTATAGACTAGATAGACTAGACTATAGACTAGACTATAGACTAGACTATAGACTAGACTATAGACTAGACTATAGACTAGACTATAGACTAGACTATAGACTAGACTATAGACTAGACTATAGACTAGACTATAGACTAGACTATAGACTAGACTATAGACTAGACTATAGACTAGACTATAGACTAGACTATAGACTAGACTATAGACTAGACTATAGACTAGACTATAGACTAGACTATAGACTAGACTATAGACTAGACTATAGACTAGACTATAGACTAGACTATAGACTAGACTATAGACTAGACTATAGACTAGACTATAGACTAGACTATAGACTAGACTATAGACTAGACTATAGACTAGACTATATACTAGACTATAGACTATACTAGCCTATATACAAAACTATAAAACTGGATAATACACTGTATGGAGTATTAGTTTACAGGCCGTACTATGGTTCTTTAATACAGCAATACATATTACTTACGGCCATACCTAAATAAAAGCGTTCCACTACTTGTAATTTGTTTTTGTTTTCATAAAATTGTTATTGGATTCAACGCTTTTATTTAGGGCATGATCCTAGTATTCATTATGCTCAAATATAATACTAACTAACTAAATTATGGAAAATATGCTGTAGACATTCTAATGAATAATTCCAAAAAGTTAATTTATCATAAAATATGCATGTACAAACACATGTAAATATATCTTCTATACATACATATGTACGTATCTACACATTTACTTAACATACCTTTAAGCCCACTACACCAGCTGCACAGGGTCCAGAATGAACACCAATGCGTAATTGTAAATTTTCAGTTGGTTTATGGCGTATTTTTAAATTAGCAACATTTTGCAATAAGTGCAATGCTAACGAGGCAATTTCTCCAACATGACGTTTGCCATTTCTCAATGGTAAACCAGAAACGACCATATACGCATCACCAATTGTTTCAACCTAAAAACAAATAAAGAAAGAGTAAATGGTAATATGAAAAAAGTATTGTTAGTTAAGTATGTATACATTATACCCTACACTGATATACCGAAAGTACATAAATCTATTGTAGACGACCAACAATAATTAAGCTTTTCTAATATATAGACCGACTCTGATAAAATAAGATATAACGATTTTTTTAGATCAGTTTAATCTGATTTCGATAAACGTCTTTTCTAAGTTTTATTGATTTGCGAAACATTTTCGAAAATAGGCCACATATGGTACATAAATCCTATTATGATCATAAAATGTACAATTCTGGAAAATTTATTTACATATCTTCAGATTTCATTTAACCGCGATGTATTCCATTAAAAACTTTACGATGTTCTTATATTTTCATATGAAAATTCTACAATTTCCTGTTTTTCTTCAAAGAAAAAAAAATTTTTTTAAGGTTGCTTCTAGCAGACGTTAGTTGTTAAAAAACATTTGGTTTAAACATTTCATGGCAGAACAATTTAATTTTTATTCTTAAACTCATAAAAAGAAATAAGATATAATTTTAGTAACTAATTACATATGCGTGTACATTATTTGAGTAATAATATTTATCTTTTAATATTTTTTCAAGAATAAAGGAAGATAAACATTCCCCATAGGGTTTGATTTTTTACAAGAAACACTGCCCAAATACATTCTTACTTACTTACGTATGTATGTATGTATACTATATACATATTAAATACAAATAAATACAATAAAAAATTGATATAAATAATCCCTTTACCACCTGCAGTGATGAGCCAACGTTTAATGGCAAAACCTCAAAAAACTTACACTTTTTAATTTCATAAAAAGTTTTTATTTTTCATAAAATTTTTTCCTCTCGAAACTTCTTTACATATATGTAAGCGATATATGATGATGTGAAATGCATACATACATATGTATGTATGTATGTATGTATGTATGTATGTATGTATGTATGTAGTTGTATATATGTATGTATGTATGTATGTATGTATGTATGTATGTATGTATGTATGTATGTATGTATGTATGTATGTATGTATGTATGTATGTATGTATGTATGTATGTATGTATGTATGTATGTATGTATGTATGTATGTATGTATGTATGTATGTATGTATGTAGTAGTATGATGTATGTATGTATGTATGTATGTATGTATGTATGTATGTATTAGTATGTATGTATGTATGTATGAGTATGTATGTATGTATGTATGTAGTATGTATGTATGTATGTATGTATGTATGTATGTATGTATGTATGTATGTATGTAGTATGTAGTATGTATATGTATGTATGTATGTATGTATGTATGTATGTATGTATGTATGTATGTATGTATGTATGTATGTATGTATGTATGTATGTATGTATGTATGTATGTATGTATGTATGTATGTATGTATGTATGTATGTATGTATGATGATGTATGTATGATGTATGTATGTATGTATGTATGTATATGTATGTATGTATGTATGTATGTAGTATGTATGTATTAGGTATGTATGTATGTATGTATGTATGTATGTATGTATGTATGTATGTATGTATGTATGTATGTATGTATGTATGTATGTAGATGTATGTATGTATGTATGATGTATGTATGTATGTATGTATGTAGTATGTATGTATGTATGTATGTATGTATGTATGTATGTATGTATGTATGTATGTATGTATGTATGTATGTATGTATGTATGTATGTGTATGTATAGTATGTATGTATGTATGTATGTATGTATGTATGATGTATGTATGTATGTATGTATGTATGTGTATGTATGTGTATGTATGTATGTATGTATGTATGTATGTATGTATGTATGTATGTAATGTATGATGTATGTATGTATGTAATGTATGTATGTATGTATGTATGTATGTATGTATGTAGTTGTATGTATGTATGTGTATGTATGTATGTATGTAGGTATGTATGTATGTAGATGTGTATGTATGTATGTTGTATGTATGTATGTAGATGTATGTATGTATGTATGTATGTATGTATGTATGTATGTAGTATGTATGTATGTATGTATGTATGATGTAGTATGTATGTATGTATGTATGTATGTATGTATGTATGTATGTGTATGTATGTATGTATGTATGTATGTATGTATGTATGTATGTATGTATGTAGTATGTATGTATGTATGTATGTATGTATGTATGTATGTATGTATGTATGTATGTATGTATGTATGTATGTATGTATGTATGTAGTATGTATGTATGTATGTATGTATGTATGTATGTATGTATGTATGTATGTATGTATGTATGTATGTATGTATGTATGTATGTATGTATGTATGTATGATGTATGTATGTATGTATGTATGTATGTATGTATGTATGTATGTATGTATATATGTACATATGAATGTATATTAACATAGGCATTGCAGACTTTTCTTAAAATCATAAAAAAGTGAACGAGAATTTCAAAAAAACTTCAACAAAAGTCACAGTAATCTCTTTCTTGTTAAAAAGTGTATTTGATTTTATACTTCTGATGAATTCTTTGACCTTTTTACTTCCTCTAAAACTACAGACAGAACAGGTGTACTATGGTTTTGAGCAGATATTGTAGAACCCAGTAGCTTCATAGTTAACAAAAATGTTATCAACAATTCTATATAGACTATAGAATAGACTATAGACTAGACTAGACTATAGACTAGACTAGACTAGACTATAGACTAGACTAAGACTATACTATAGACTATACTATAGACTAGACTATAGACTAGACTATAGACTAGACTATAGACTATAGTCTAGACTATAGAAGACTAAGACTAGACTAGACTAGACTATCGACTAGACTAGTCGACTAGACTATAGACTAGACTATAGACTAGACTATAGACTGACTATAGACTAGACTATAGACTAGACTATAGACTAGACTATAGACTAGACTATAGACTAGACTATAGACTAGACTATAGACTAGACTATAGACTAGACTATAGACTAGACTATAGACTAGACTATAGACTAGACTATAGACTAGACTATAGACTAGACTATAGACTAGACTATAGACTAGACTATAGACTAGACTAGACTAGACTATAGACTAGACTATAGACTAGACTATAGACTAGACTAGACTAGTAGACTAGACTATAGACTAGACTATAGACTAGACTATAGACTAGACTATAGACTAGACTATAGGACTAGACTATAGACTAGACTATAGACTAGACTATAGACTAGACTATAGACTAGACTATAGACTAGACTATAGACTAGACTATAGACTAGACTATAGACTAGACTATAGACTAGACTATAGGACTAGACTATAGACTAGACTATAGACTAGACTATAGACTAGACTATAGACTAGACTATAGACTAGACTATAGACTAGACTATAGACTAGACTATAGACTAGGACTATAGACTAGACTAGACTAGACTATAGACTAGACTATAGACTAGGACTATAGACTAGACTATAGACTAGACTATAGACTAGACTATAGACTAGACTATAGACTAGACTATAGACTAGACTATAGACTAGACTATAGGACTAGACTATAGACTAGACTATAGACTAGACTAGACTAGACTATAGACTAGACTATAGACTAGACTAGACTATAGACTAGACTAGACTAGACTAGACTATAGACTAGACTATAGACTAGACTAGACTGGACTATAGACTAGACTAGACTAGACTATAGACTAGACTAGACTAGACTATAGACTAGACTAGACTATAGACTAGACTATAGACTAGACTATAGACTAGACTATAGACTAGACTATAGACTAGACTATAGACTAGACTATAGACTAGACTATAGACTAGACTATAGACTAGACTATAGACTAGACTATAGACTAGACTATAGACTAGACTATAGACTAGACTATAGACTAGACTATAGACTAGACTATAGACTAGACTATAGACTAGACTATAGACTAGACTATAGACTAAATGTACCTTGATTACATTTTGTTTATAAATATTCGCATTTTACAGTAATGCAATTTAATCTTCAAAATTAAAAATAACCAAATATTTTTTCAGTGCAATTTCATTGAAAAATGCCAATAGTGTGTGTGTAGTGGGATTTTTTATCTGCCTCTCTATACGAAGGTATATGCTATAGACTATATAATAGAGAACTCTTTCGTTCTGTTCTGTTTTAAATACTTAACATTTGAATTTTGCAATGTAATTTCATACCTTATAAACGTCATAGTTGTTAATTATTGAATCACAACAAGTATACAAATCATTTAACATTTCAATCACTTCAAATGGAGTACTGGTGCTGCACAATTCCGTAAAACCTACAATGTCACTAAACAATATTGTCACACAGTCAAAGCATTCAGCCTCAACAGGTTCGCCACGTTTTAAAGATTCTGCAACAGATCTGAAAGCAAAAACACATACTGATTAAAATTTTAAAAGTATTGAGTACTATGCAATACCTGAATGAGTAATAAAAATTTGTGGGAAAGCACTTATGTGGGTGAAAGTTTGTACATTTCAACATAAATACTCACCTTGGCAACATTTGGTTTAACAGCATGTCAGTTTTCTTTTTTTCCTCATAAAGTTGTGTGGTACGTTCTTGTACTAATCCCTCTAAATTATATGCATATTTTTCCATAATTGAAAGCATGTTGTCAAAAATATTCGGTTTCCTGCAAAAACAAAAATTAGGAAACATTAATGAATATTTTTTAATACATCCGGAAGTTATTTGTTTTTGTAAAGGTATAAAAAACAAAAAGTTTCATTGACATTGTAAATTTTATTCGTTTGATCTTTAAGCCTTATAACTAAAACATTTTTGTCGATGAAAGTTGTGAAAACAATTAATTGTTGTCATAACAATTTAAATTTAGTGCTTTATTTGTTTAATAAAGCTTATTGAAATGTTTTAAATTCATTTGGTTGAAATTGTTTTTATGACTTCAAAAGAATATGTTAATTAACCTGTTTATTAATTATTCTTAATAATAGAATTTGTGGTTTGACCTGAATATTAGTTTTTACTTCAATGAAAATAAAACAACTATTTAAATTAGTTATAAAAATAAACCATGAAATATTTAATAACATTTGCTGAATGGATAAACAAAGAAAACTTTGTTTTTATATAATTGCTGATAAAAAGTGTGTGCAGGAATTTTTTGATAAAATCTGATACAGATTTTTTTTACTTACAATCCAGCCTGCAGTTCTTTTAACTTCATGCGTACTAATCGTATATCAGGACGCAATTCTGGATCTTCTTCCCAGCATGATCTCAAACACTGGCGTACATAGTCCTGAATATCGAGTTGTGACAGTGATGGACGGAAGACACCATGATGTAATAATTCCGGTTGCTTAACAAATGTTATTATTTCTAAATAAATGAAAAGAAATATTAAAGGAAAAGAAAATGCATAAAAATGGTAAATGAATAAAAATAAAGCGTTGTAATAAAATACCGTTTATGATTAAAAAGGAAAATGTAATGGATTTTTCTTCATCTCAATTTTAAATGTGATACAAGATGATGATAAATATTATGGCGTTCCAAATGACTAAACAAAAGACAATCTCTTGAGACCCACACAATATCTAAGACTATATTTTGACTACAGACTAATCTAGACTAGACAATGGACTAAACTATAGACTAGACTATAGACTAGACTTTAGACTAGACTATAGACTAGACTATAGACTAGGACCATAGACTAGACTATAGACTAGACTATAGACTAGACTATACACTAGACTATAGACTAGACTATAGACTAGACTATAAACTAGACTATAGACTAGACTATAGACTAGACTATAGACTAGACTATAGACTAGACTATAGACTAGACTATAGACTAGACTATAGACTAGACTATAGACTAGACTATAGACTAGACTATAGACTAGACTATAGACTAGACCTATAGACTAGACTATAGACTAGACTATAGACTAGACTATAGACTAGACTATAGACTAGACTATAGACTAGACTATAGTCTAGACTAGACTATAGACTAGAATAGACTATAGACTAGAATAGACTATAGACTAGACTAGACTATAGACTAGACTATAGACTAGACTATAGACTAGACTATAGACTAGACTATAGACTAGACTATAGACTAGACTATAGACTAGACTAGACTAGACTAGACTAGACTAGACTAGACTAGACTAGACTATAGACTAGACTATAGACTAGACTATAGACTAGACTATAGACTAGACTAGACTAGACTAGACTATAGACTAGACTATAGACTAGACTATAGACTAGACTATAGACTAGACTATAGACTAGACTATAGACTAGACTATAGACTAGACTAGACTATAGACTAGACTATAGACTAGACTATAGACTAGACTAGACTATAGACTAGACTATAGACTAGACTGACTAGACTATAGACTAGACTATAGACTAGACTATAGACTAGACTATAGACTAGACTATAGACTAGACTAGACTAGACTATAGACTAGACTATAGACTAGACTATAGACTAGACTATAGACTAGACTATAGACTAGACTATAGACTAAACTATAGACTAGACTATAGACAAAACTATAGACTAGACTATAGACTAGACTATAGACTAGACTATAGACTAGACTATAGACTAGACTATAGACTAGACTATAGACTAGACTATAGACTAGACTATAGACTAGACTATAGACTAGACTATAGACTACACTATAGACTAGACTATAGACTAGACTATAGACTAGACTGGACTAGACTATAGACTACACTATAGACTAGACTATAGACTAGACTATAGACTAGACTATAGACTAGACTATAGACTAGACTATAGACTAGACTATAGACTAGACTATAGACTAGACTATAGACTAGACTATAGACTAGACTATAGACTAGACTATAGACTAGACTATAGACTAGACTATAGACTAGACTATAGACTAGACTATAGACTAGACTATAGACTAGACTATAGACTAGACTATAGACTAGACTATAGACTAGACTATAGACTAGACTATAGACTAGACTATAGACTAGACTATAGACTAGACTATAGACTAGACTATAGACTAGACTATAGACTAGACTATAGACTAGACTATAGACTAGACTATAGACTAGACTATAGACTAGACTATAGACTAGACTATAGACTAGACTATAGACTAGACTATAGACTAGACTATAGACTAGACTATAGACTAGACTATAGACTAGACTATAGACTAGACTATAGACTAGACTATAGACTAGACTATAGACTAGACTATAGACTAGACTATAGACTAGACTATAGACTAGACTATAGACTAGACTATAGACTAGACTATAGACTAGACTATAGACTAGACTATAGACTAGACTATAGACTAGACTATAGACTAGACTATAGACTAGACTAGACTAGACTTTAAACTTGACTTTAGACTAGACTATAGGCTAGACTATAAATTCCTAGATATAGCAGACCTCGTTGATAATTTGTCTCGGTATACCCTTTCTAAAAAACATGTTTATTTGCAATTATTACAAATATCTCGTTCAGCAAGTAAAATAATAAAATTTTATTATTCTCTTACCATCATGCGTATATGTTGTCTCACCCCAGGGTCCCTTGCGACCAATTATTTCATACAATACTATACCAAAAGAGTATACATCGCCTTTTTGGCTGCCACGCAACGGTGGCGATGGATCCCTTAAAATCTCTGGCGCTTTCCATAAAGCACGTTTCAATTCCATTTCTCGTCTTTATAATGACAAATAGATAACCAATGAAAAAGTAGAAAGTTAAAAATATTAATTTAAAAGGAAAACCAAAATTATATAAGAGATAACAGCAGTATAGAAGAAAATAAGTAAATAAAGAGCAATACTTTTAGAGTTATTTTTGTTTTCGTTGCAGAAATAATAAAATACATAATTGTAATTGAAATTTGGAAAAGTGAAAATATTTTGATTACGTATGTGTGTGAACTTAGAGTGGGTCAAGATTAAACTTTTACTTTGATTTTGGCTGAATTTTATTCTAACTTACTTCTGCGGCTCTTCTTGTCCTGCCTTAAATTCATGCAGACCAAAATCTGCTATTTGACACACCCATCTGGAATCGATTAAACAATTACTGGATCTCAAATTTCCATGTGAAATAATCTCAGAATCATGTAAATATATCATGCCCTTTAGAATATCGCTGACTAGTGAGGACACAAACATATGATCCAAATGTAAATCATCATTCGCTAAAACATCCTCCAGACTGCCACGGGCACAGTAGGTGGTGAAAATGACAACAGAGCCATGATCTATGGAGACACCTATGAAATTGATAATATTTTCGTGGCGTATCTGAAATTTGAGAAAAACAAAAGTTGTTATGAAATTAATTTGAAGTAGTGTGGCGTATGATTACTATTAATTGTATTTTTAATAATCATACGCCACCGGTGTGATTTGGTCGATGGTACATTTGAAATATTTCTTAAAATTAAAAAGCATATTGTTTAGTTTATTTCAATAAACATTTAAACATATAAATGATTGTTAATTTTTCTATTTTCTGTTTTTCACCCACCTCTCTCATTTGTTTCAACTCCTTGCGTATGGAACGGGTTATATCAACAGTCTTTTTATAAACTTTTTTCATGGCCACTATATTGCCACGATATAAACCTTAAATGAGAATAAATATATAAAAATATCATCATTAGATAATTTAAGAACATCCAAAACATTAACACAAAAGTTTTTTTTTTTTTTTTTTTTAATAAAATAATTATATTTTCCAAACAATTACAAAAGTTTTTTGATATAAATACAAGTGAATACAACTTAAGCAGATGATTGAATTATATTCTTTGAAAAATAAACCAGACCAGACTAAATCAACCAACCATTCACGCATTCATTCAATCGATCAAACAACCCACCTATATTTGTAAAAGCCTTTTTATTTGTATCGCCTCCGGTTAATATACTTTGACGGCATATTTGATACTACAAATAAAAAATGGTGATAATGGAGAGGAAATATGAAAAAAGAGGAAATGAAATATACAAATATTGGTTAAAAGGAAGTAACTATGTGAATGAATTTATATGTGTGTTTGTGCTGGGGTTTTATAAGGGTGTGATATTGTTAAAAAAGTATTATAGTTTACTTGTAACGTTCAACCCAATTAAACGATGTATGACCTTAAGGCTTAAGAAAAGATATTTAACAATTAAGAAAAATATGGAAATTACTACTATACTTACTAATTGCTACCATATTTTTAAGTGGTAGCAATTAGTTAAAATAGGGTGTTAATAAGTCATAATTACTATATCACGTTTATGCCCTTTACCCCTGAACTTGGGAGGGTGTTATATATTTGTCCTGATGTCTATGAAGTTCACGACTATATACCAGATTTAGTCGGGACTATAATATAGTAATAATAACCGTGACTTTGGAATATAGTTGATTAGACTAGGAGAAATTTTTCTAGTAAAACATTGATATAATTTGATCAGACTTTGAGCAACTTTTCCATCAAAACTTGATCAGACTCTGACCAACATCTCTATAAAAGGTTAATCAGACTCTGAGCAACATTTCTACTTAAAAGTTGATAAGCTTTTGTAGTTAAAAGTTGATCAGTCTCTAAGAAACTTTACTAGCAAAAAGTGGATCAGACTCTGACGAACATTTCCACTAAAAAGATGATCAGAATCCGATCAACATTTCTGGTAAAAAGTTAATCAGATTCTGACCAACTTTTTTAGCAAAAATTTTACCAGATTCTGAGCAACTTTTCTATTAAAAATTTGATCAGACTCTAAGCAACTTTTTTAATAAAAAGTTGATCAGACTCTGAGCAACTTTTCTAGTAAAAACTTCATCAGACTCTAAGCAACTTTTCTAGTAAAAAGTTCATCAGACTCTGAGCAACTTTTCTAGTAAAACTTGATCATACTATAAGCAACTTTTGTAGTTAAAAGTTTATCAGAGTCTAAGCAACTTTTATAGTTAAAAGTTGATTAGACTATAAGCAACTTTTGTAGTTAAAAGTTGAACAGTCTCTAAGCAACTTTTCTTGTAAAAAGTTCATCAGACTCTGAGCATCTTTTCTCGTAAAAAGTTGATCAGACTCTAAACGACTTTTTTTGTAAAAAGTTTATCAGACTCTGAGTAACTTTCTTAGTAAAAAGTTAATCAGACTCTGAGCAACTTTTCAAGTAAAAAGTTGATTTTCTATTAAAAAGTTGATCAAACTATAAGCAACTTTTGTAGTTAAAAGTTAATCGGACTATGAGCAACTTTTGTAGTTAAAAGTTCATCAGACTCTAAGCAACTTTTCTAGTAAAAAGTTCATCAGACTCTGAGCAACATTTCTAGTAAAAAGTCTCAGAGTCTGATCGACTTTTCTAGTAGAAAGTTCATCAGACTCTGAGCAACTTTTCTAGTAAAAAGTTGACCAGACTCTGAGCAACTTTTCTAGTAGAAAGTTTATCAGATTCTGAACAACTTTTCAAGTAAAAAGTTGATCACACTCTGAGGAAAAAGTTGAGTTGATTAGACTCAGAGCAGTTTTTCTAGTAAATAGTTGATTAGACTCTCAGCAAAGTTGATCAGACACTGAGAAATTTTTTTAGTATGACTTAAACAGATTCTAAGCAATCTTTTATAGTAAAACTTATCGCATTCTAGAAAATTATTTTAATATTTTTTTATTTATGTTACTTTTAACAATAGTATTTCGCTCTTTTCTTTTCAAAATAACATTTAATAATTACTAATAGATTAAATCAATTACAAGTTTCTTTACGAAATGGCTTTTATTAAAATCTCATTGCTCTTATGGTAAATTAGCTACTAAGCAAAAGATTACATTGTTTACTGACATTAATGTAGTCTTAAAGTTTTAATTTAATGACATTAATGGCAACTTGTTTACATAAATTAAGTTGAACGCCACAGCAGAGAGACCAAGAGAGAGAGAGAGAGAGATAGAGTGCGAATGCAAATACGTTAAAGATAGAAAACTTACAATATTTTTATTTTTTAAATTATTATATTCACAATTATTGTCCACATTTATAATGGTCACATCTTTCATGTCAATTTTCCACAAGAGACCAGCTAATGTTTGTTCATAACGATAATGCCTGCAAAAGATGTGAATGAGTAGAAAATTTATTTTAATTTAAACTTTTATAAAGATTTTAACTAAAGAAGATATTAAAGAGCAAAATAAAGCAAATTTCCAACTAAAAACCTTGAACTAGTTGGTTCATATATAAAAATTTAAAAGAAAATACTAATTATGAAAATAAGACTTATTAAACAAACGTTTTGTTTCTAACAAAAGATAGAAGTCTGAAGCAACAAATCAATAAAAAGAAATTCATAATACACAAGAAAGTTGAATATGTAAAATAAAAATATGTTCACTACTTAATAAGAAAAATGCCAGCTATTATTAGGAATAAACCAAAAAACGAGCCAGATGTTATATAGCGCCAATCCAATTTTTTCATACGACAAAGTTCACCATTAAAACCACACAATGGTTCTGCCAAGGGTGGTCGACCCTTAAGCCACTGAATGGGGCGATCAGTTTTAATATAACGAAATTCCTACAAAATAAAAAAATAAACTCTTAATTTAATACAACCTTTTGAATTAAATTTCTCGGCAACTTTTTGTTCAGCTATTGAAATTGAATATTAATTTAATAAGTCTACATACCGGTATGGTAGATTGTTTATTGTACACGAAATAACCTACTGGTTGCATAGACATTTTTGCCAAAGAATTGGCAGCATTTACACTGTTCATATCATGCTGCAAAGTTATGACTGTATAGTTACCCTCAGCATCTCCATTGCTATCGATGTGCACCTGAAAAAGAATGAAAAAAAATAAGCAAAATGGAATAAATAAATAATAATGACATGAGTGTACAATGTGTAATGTGTGTAAATAAAAGAGTAAATTTATGTCAGTGTATTTAATAGAAAAATAAACAAAATATTTTAATCGTATAAGAAGAGATGGTTTAAATTCAGAAATAAATAAAAAAGTTCTTTAATATTATTTAAATTTATTAGATAAAATATTTCTATTACTATTAAGCTCTTAGAAATTCCAAATAATTTATGAAACAAAATTTATTTAAGAAAATATGATATGAAAATTTTAAAAATTTTATAAAAAAAAAGTCGAAATAGAATAAAAAAGTCACTTCATAGTGATAGTCATTAATTTAGAACCATATAGATGGAAATTTATTTTATATTATAGAAAATTCAAAAAGTACCAGTTGTGAAGCAAAAAAGTACCAAAGAGTTCACTTTTAGAGAATCTTCTTTTAAAAGATTCTAGAAAATTCAAAAAGTAACTTTTGAAAAACGAAAAGGTACCAAAAATATCCCTCTAAAATGTCTAATGTGTTTTGGTTCCATATTAGAGAAAGTACCATTTGAAGGATGAAAATGTACCAAAAGTACCTTATATATACGCTTAATATTGTGTACACAGAGGGAAAAACCGGTAGAAAAGCAAGAAAAATTATACAATCCGTTATCAAAAGTGAGCTTACCATGTTTGTTAACATTTAGACAACGGGTGTGTATAAAATTTAAATAACATCCAGTTATCATTATAACAACCACCGTTGTAATTTTGACAACGCATTGTTGTCACTTCGATTACGCTTTGTGCCATTTCGCCAATGCATCATTGTGATTTCGACAACGAATTGTTGTCACTTTGGTAACACATATTTATATTTTGTTGTTGGTTTGACAACGGATGTTATTGAAAAATTATAAACACTTTGTTGTCAATTTGGTATTTAAAAACGAATTTTTTTACTTTATTTTAATGTTTCTAAGTGAAATTGTACCGAAATTTCAAAAAGATCCTTTTAAAGAATGAAAATGTACCAAAATGTTCCCGTTTATATTAAAAAAAGTCCAAAAGTACCTTTTAAAGGGCGAAAAAGTACCAAAATTCAAAAAGTACCTCTAGAAAAACGAAAAGGTAACAAAGAGTTATCTCCTACAAATTCTCATTCTGATTGAATGAGAATTTGTGTTCCATATTAGAGAAAGTCCAAAAAGTAACATTTGAGGGCTGAATGTAGCAAAAGTACATTTTTAAAGATTTTTATAAACTAAATATTGTGTACTTTTAATTTATTGTGAAATAGTACCAAAAATTAATAAAAAATTTATTAAAAAATTGAAATGTGAGATTCTCAGTCAATCATAATCTTGAATGTTTATATAGAAAATTCAAAAAGTAGCAGTTGAAGAATGAAAAGGTACCAAAAGTCCCTTTATTCATTATTTGAAGACTTGAAGATATTATAGAACATTTTAAAAGTACAGTTTAAGTTTATCGTTCGAATTTTATGGAAATTTCAAAAAGTACCACTTGAAGACTAAAATACCAACAAGTTTCTTCTTTTTATTATAATTCATAATTCTAAAAGTATTAGATGAAGATTGACAAAGTACTAAAAGTACCTTTTTGTAAAATTTCATTCAATTAGGACCATGCATGTTTGTTTCTAGGTTCAATATTAGAGAAAAATCGAATGATTCCAAAAAATGTTCCCTTCTAAAGATTCTTATTAGGGTTCTATAGTTGAAACGAAAAGTCGACTTTTCGACTTTTTGCATTTTATGAAAGTCGATTTTTCGACTTTTTTCATTTAATTAAAAGTTGACTTTAGACTTTTCGACTTTTAGTATTTTATAAATAGTCGACTTTTCGACTTTCCGACTTTTCGAATTTTTTTTGACTATTTTCGACTTCTTTCGACTTTTTTTCGACAATTTTTTTACTTTTTTCGAGTTTTTTTCGACTATTTTAGAGTTTTTGACTTCTTTTCCACTTTTATAAAATTTACGACTATTTTTGACTTTTTTCTACTATTTTCGAGTTTTCGACTTTTTTCCGACTTTTTCGACTATTTCCGGACTTTTCGACTTTTATTTTAAGTCGACTTTTTCAATAGACGATAGTCGAGTTATCGACTTTTTTGGAACAAAATAGTCGACTTCGACTTTTTTCGACAAAAAGTCAATTGTCGATTATTCGAAGTCGATTTAAGAACCCTAATTCTTATTTAATGAGATCATGTAATATGTAAAATTTTATGCTTCTGGTTTTACTATTATAAAAAAAACAACAAAAGTACCATTTGAAGAGTGAAAAAGTACCAAAGTTCCTTCTTATAGATTTTCATTCAGTTAAATATAAAGAGAATTATAAAGTCAGAAATTACTTAAAGCAACTTTTAATATAATTTCATTCAGTTAGGAACTTTTTATGGTTTCAAAAGTACCAGCAAATGAAAGTAAAAAGGACCTTCAATTAGGACAGTGTTTGTTTAAATTGATGGTTTTATATTGATATGAATATAAGTCAATAAAATCAGTGTATATGTTATATATAGAAAAAAATGTTTTATACAAAAAGTACTAAAAATTGGTACTTTTCAATTTCCGAAAAGTACTAAATTCGTATTTATAGATATACCAGGAGTCTGTCCACTGTTTTTTAAGTTTAGCAGATATGAGGTTGACAATTTTTTTATTAAATCTTTGATTAAAATTTAAATAACAAAATTTATGATCTCTTTTATTCATTCTAATTTATTTATAGACATTTATTTTACTTAAGAACAAATTTATCAAAATTGTTTATATATTCTAAACATTTATTATATTATACTGTATCTTGGTTCTTAGAAAGCATTTGCAGAAGTCAAAATGAATTAAGGGAATTAAGTCAAGTTTTTATTTGTTTGAGCAAATACACCTATGTATGTGTGTATGTATGTATTTTTAAAATAAAAAAACAACACATAACCATAATCAAATAAAAAAGTAAATAAATAAAACTTTTGTTTATAATAATTGAGAGGAAGGACGTCACTTTATTTTATTTTTGGTTATTATATTAAAATTTATATTTTTATAAGCTATTTTTAATTTACTTTATTATTTATATTTAAAACAACAAAACTATTATTAGTTGTATGTCATTTTTTTTACATGT